TCCCCACCTGCTCTTTACCGATGCAGGTTAAGAGACAGCCGGGTGACGAGGAAGAGACGAGTTGGGTCGGCCTAATTACTTATGCATATTTATTTCTTCCGCTGAACTTGAATAAGTTTGTTGCACGTCATGTTTTGTGCAAACTATTTTCGAAACTTGTGTGTTGGTTTTGAAACTTATGAACCTTTGTCGTTTTGGGATTGAAGTTTGATTATTTATTTCATGAGTTTATGTTGGTTAATGAAAACCGATTGTGAAAACCGGGTAATGAATCCCCGTAGGCCCAGATAAGACTTGGGATATGAAGAATGTTAGTTAACACCCACTAAGTTTTTGAAAATGATTTTGAAAATTTTATTCAGGTTTTTAATTCGAAATTTCTGTAAAATCAAAGTGGGGTGTTACAGCTACTTGGGAGGCGGAGTCCGATATTCGCGCTCGTTTTCCAGATTTTCAGTTTTGATGTACATATTTTCTTATTCTATGTACATAGTTCATGTATTTTCAGTTATGTTTTGAATTTCCGAGGGTGGAAATTTGTAAGGAGGGAGGATTATAATATCCCGTCAGCTTATCAGTATAAATCATGTTTTAGTTCCGAAATATTAATATCGTCGAGTATTAATTTTCGGAATTAAATTATTTCAGTCATTTCAGTTAAATTACCGGAAATTATTTTCGACGTTCCGTTTACGTTTGGAATAATTTTGGTAATTAAGCATTATGTTTAATTAAATAATTAAACATAATTAAGTGATTAATTAATCATTAATCACGAGATTAAGGCATAAAGTCGTACGGTTTTTCCCCATTTTCCTAAATGGCCGAAACTTTGTACTTAGTGTTTGGAGAATACTTATTCATTTCATAAGTATGTTATGAGGTGGCAAGCTTTTAAGATCATTAGTCATCCATTAATCCTTGTATTATGTCCAAGTGTTAGGCTAAGAGCATGACACAAATCACCTCATCATCATTATACCCAATCGACTTTATATATAAGTGAGAGGGGTGAATTTTTCCCACTCTTTAGCCATATATCTTCCTCATAAGTTCAGCATATATATATATATATATATTAGAGTGAGAGTTGGGAGCTTAAGGAGTTCACCACCGCAAGCTATCGCTAGCATCGCACCGCACGGCAAGAAGCATCCTATCTCACCGCACGCGAGTTAGGCTACACACGGTCACGACGAGTATTTCACGAGTTTATCTCGATCAGGAGAGCAGCTGAGAAGGTATAGTGCTGGCTATCTCTTGGTTGCATATGTATTAGTGTCGTGCAAGTCAATTTTCGTGTTGGCCGTGAGTCATGTTGCCGTGTGTAGTTGAGATCGAGTCATGTCATGTTTAAAGTTGAATTCTCCGAACAACCTTTACCCATTTAGCTATTTTATGTAATATCATGTTCAGATTAGCTTAAGTGTTCAGAGGATTATTTATGTTTTTGCGGTGTTCGGCCAAGGGAACGTGGTCGCGCATATAGCGCACCACGGGCCGT